AAGACCGGTGGCTGGTTTTTGTGAACACGGTGATGAACCTTCGGGTTCCATAAATAAAGTGGGCTATTCTTTACCAAGCCGAGAAACAATCGACTTTTCAAACACATTCTGCGCCATAGAGTAATTAGATCAGTTAATTTACATAATAGGTTATGTACAGAGTGGCGCACGAAATGATACCCGACTGAAAATTTAAATAAGGGATTTACTATTCATATAATGGGACATATATATCTATGAACACAAAGAACAATTTATGGAGATTTATCCTTTATGGATTACATGCTTAATATGACCACCGTTCTGTCGTGCAACTTCCGAAACACAAACGGCTACGTTCGTGATTACTCGATGGCACATATCCTCCGAAATTTCACCATACATTTAAACAATCAAAGCTCTGAGTTACATGATTGAGGCTGGATTTTTTGGAAACAGTTTTTCCTTAAGGTAACCCCAAAGGAAAAATTCGCAGGGGTTTATGTCCGGACTAATGGGTGGCCACTTCTGTCCACTTCCGTGGCGAGCAGGATATCGGTGGGAATCACACGTGGACCGAAAGTGTCGTGCAGGAAGTCAAAGAAAACGTTAGTGTAGCCCAATCTTGCATAAACCACTGTGTATTTAACGGCAAACCGGGCTTCTTTGCATGGCTATTCTGTTCTGTGGGCTACGCACACTTGCGACACGTCCACGTTTCTTTTCCAACACTGTACCATCCTGTTGAAACTGCTGATGAAGTCTGTGAATAGTTTTTGGAGCAGGGGCCCACCGCGTACCAAAATGGGCATGAAACCGTCTCTGTGTTTCCACAACACTTTTTGTTTCCGCAAAAAACAAAACTGAACCGTAAGTCTTCCCTTGTCTGCCATCTTCTGCATACTGGCGGGAAACCGCGACATAATCACCGCGCGTTAGCGTTAACGTGGTTGCTGATTTATCGTTAAAACAAATAGGGCAACATTTCGTGCGCCATTCTGTATAAATGATACTCAAATTGAGTCCGATTATTTCACTACAGATGGAGAGATTTTATGCTCAAGTGGTTTAATTTGGGTATTTATTTTTAAATGCTTTTCCCAGCTTAGGATCCCAGGCCTTTCTTAATAACTGACGGCGTGCTCCACATCATTCAGCCCCG